ACTTTCATTGTTTTAGACTAATACCTAGCTGTAAAATGACTGGATCATAGTGTAAGTTTAACTTTTTAAGAAATTGCCAAACTATTTTCCAAATTAGTGATTCCATTTTACTTTCCCACCAGCAGTGTATGAGAATTCCAGTTCTTCCCTATCCTCTATACTGCTTGATAGGGTCATTTTAAAAATTTTTAGCCATTCTAATAGGCACGTGGTGGTATCTGACTGCAGTTTTAATTTGTATCTCCCTAATTATTAGTGATATTGGACATCTTTTCACATGCTTATTGGACATCTATTTATCTTCTTGGGTTGAACTATCTATTCAGATCTTCTGCCCACTTTAAATTGGGTTTTACACATAGTATTATGATGTTCTATTTCAAGTTATTCTTTGTATATGGTACAAGGTATGGATCGAGGTTTATGATTTTCACATGGGTGTCCAATTGTTCCAGCACCATTTATTGAAAAGACTCTTCTTTCTCCTCTGAGTGGCATTTGCAACTTAGGAAAAAGTACGAAGGACCCGCCTTTGCACCATATATGGGTGGGTCTGTTTTTGAACTCTTTATTCTGTTTCATCAGTCTGTTTTCCCCTGTGCACACTAGAATCACACCATCTTGATTACTGCAGCTTTATACCAAGTCTTGAAATCAGATAGTGTTAATCTCCCAACTTTGGTTTTCAAAGTTGTTTTAGTTATTCTAGGTCCTTTGTGTTTCCATAAGAATTTTAGAATCAGCTCATCTGTTTCTATTAATATAAAAAAAAATCTACTGGGATTTTGATTGTAATTGTGTTGAATCCATAGATCAATCTGAGGAGAACTGACATCTTAATATTGAGTCTTCTGACCTGTGAGCACAATATATCTGACATATTTGGTCATATTTATCCCTCAGTATTTCATATTTTTATGGTATTTTTAAAATTTCAATTTCCAATTGTTAGTTGCTAGTATATAGGAATATAATTGATTTTGTGTCCTATGATCTTGCTAAACTCACCTGTTATCAGTTCTAGTAGATTTTGTGTTTTGTAGATTCCTTTGGGATTTTCTACATAGATGTCTTCTGCTAATAAAGATAGGATTACTTTATCATTTCCAATTTAGGTGCCTTTTATTTCTTTTTCTTGCCTAATTGCACTGGCTGAACCTCAGTACAGTGTTGAATAGAAGTGATGAGAGCAGGCGTTCCCTGTCTCATTCCTAATCAAAGAATGTAGGTTTTTCGTAGGTGTCCTTTATCAGGTTAAGTAAGTTCCCTTCTGTTCCTTATTTGCTAGTAGGTTTTTTTTTTTTTTAATCAGCCATGAATATTAGGTTTTTGTCAAATGTTTTTCTTCATCTAGTGAGATGATCATATAGTTTTTTCTTTTTTAGTTTAATATGGTGAATTATATTGATTGAATTGTCACGAAATAGCATCCTTTTCATATAGTGTTAGATTCTATTTGTATTTTGTGTTATTGGGCACAATATGTTCCTGTTAGACATTGGATTGTAGTTTTCTTATATCTTCAGCTGATTTTGGATTCAGGGTAGTTCTGGCCTCATAGGATGAGTTAGGAAGTATCCTCTTTTCTTTAGTTTGTGGAGAGTTTATGTGGAACTGGTATTATTTCTTTTTTAAATGCTTGGTAGAATTTTCAAGTGAGACTGTCTGGGCTTAGAGTTTTCTTTATGGGAAGGTTTTTAACTACAAATCCAATTTTAAAAATATACATAGGGCTGTCGAGGTTATCAATTTGTCTTACATGATCTTTGGTGGTTTGAGTCTTTCATAGAGTTTGTCCATTTCGTTCAGTTATCAAATTTGTTGATGTAAAGTGATTTATAATATTCCCTTATTATCTTTTTAATATTTGTAGAAACTATAGTGATGTCACCTCTTTCATGTATGTCTGCTTTCTTTTTTTGCATGATTACTCTGGCTAGAATCTCATCAATTTTATTGATCTCAAAAAACTAGCCTTTGGTTTCGTTGATTTTTCTCTATTTTTCTGTTTTCTTTTTTATTGGATTATGCTCTGATCTTTATTTTCTTTCTTCTGTTTACTGTACATTTAATTTTCTCTTGTTCTGTTTTCTTAAAGTAGAAGCTGAGGCCATTGATTTTAAATCTTTCTTCTTTCCTAATAGAGGTGTTTAGTGCTCTAAAATTCCCCTTAAGTACTGCTGTTTTAGCGCATTTCACAATTTTTGATATGTTGTGTTTCCATTTTCATTCGATTCAAAGTAGTTTCTGTTTTTCCTTTTGATCTCTTCTTTGACTCATGTAATTGAAAAGCATGTTGTTTGGGAAGTTTTCAGTTACTTTTTTGCTGCTGATTTTTAATTTAATTCCATTATGGTTAGAGAACATACTCTGTTTGACTTAAGTTCTTTTACATTTATTGAGTCCTGTTTTATGGTCCAGTATATGGTCTGTCTTGCTGACAGTTCCCTATGCACTTGAAAAAAAATGTGTATTCTGCTCTTGTTGGATGAAATGTTCTGTAAATGTTAATTAGATCAAGTTCATTGATTGTGTGTTGTTCCTGGTCTTCTATATCCTTACTGATTTTCTGTCTAATTGTTCTAGCAGTTATTGAGAATGGTATTGAAATGTCCATCTATAGTTGCGGATTTCTCTAATTCTTTTTTCAGTTCTATCAGTTTTTGCTTCATGTATTTTAAATTTCTGTTATTAGGTACAAAACATTTAGGATTGTTGTATTCTCTTGATGAATTGATCCTTTTATCATTTGGAAATTATCTTCCTTGTCCCTGGTTATATTGTTTGCTCTGAAATGTACTTTGTTTGTTATTAATATAACCAGCCCAGCTTTCTTTTGATTCCGTTATTATTTTATCTGTTATCACGCTATCTGTTATCATTATGTTTGTATGGTATAGCTTTTTCTATCCCTTTGCTGTTAAACTATTTGTGTCTTTATATTTAAAGTGAGTTTCTTTAGGCAGCTGGGTCTTGATTTTTTTTAAATCTGACAGCCTCTGCCTTTTAATTGGGGTGTTTAAGTCATTTACATGTAATGTAATTATTGATATGGTTAGACTTAAGTCCATTTTATTCTATTTGTCCCATGTGTTCTTTATTTCCCTTTACCTCTCTTTTGCCTTCTTTTGAACTGAGTGTTTTTTATGGTTCCATTTTATCTCCTTTGTTAGAGTTTTATCTCTAACTCCTTATTTTAGTGGTTGCTTTAGGGTTTATAGTATCCATCTTTAAATTATCATAGTGTACCTTTGAATGATGTTGTATCATTTCATGGATAGCATAAGGGCCTTACGATAGTATACTACCCTTTCTTCCCTCCTGGCCTTTATGCTGTTGTTGTTAATACATTTTATTTTTATGTATGTTATAAACCCCATGCTACATTGTTATTATTTTTTTAACCAGTCAAGTATCCTTTAAAGAAATTTAAATAAACTATAAGAAAATTTTATGTATTTATTTTTGTCATTATCATTTCAAATGCTTTTATTCCTTTCTGTAAATCTGTGTTTCTGTTATCATTTTCCTTCTGCCTGAAGGACTTCCTTTAACATCTCTTGTAGCGCAGGTATACTGGAGATGAATTATTTCAGTTTTTGTATATCTGAAAAAGTCTTTCATTTTGCCTTTGTTTTTGAAATATATTTTTGCTGCGTGTGGAATTCTGGGTTGACTTTTCCCCCAGTATCTAAGGGATGTTACTGTGCTGTCTTGTCACCCGCGTGGCTTCCATTGAGAAGTCTGCTGTTGGCATTGTCCTTGTTCCTCTGTCATGTGGCTCTTAACTCAGGCTGCTTTTAAGACTCTCTTTTGGTCACTGTTTTTGAGCAATTTGATTATGATGTGCATTGTTATAGTTTTATTTCATATTTTTTGTGCTTGGGGTTCATTGCTCAATCTTCTTGGATCAGTGGGTTTATCGTTTTCATCGAGTTTGGAAATTCTCAGGCTCCTTTGGAGTCCAGTAGCCCGTGTGTTAGGCTTCGCTGAGGACTGGAACTCTCAAGGCGGCAAATCAGGGTAACCATAGTGCTCATTTTTTTTCTCATCCCCCCGGATCATCATCCTTGGTTGTCTGATGTCCAGAGTCTTGTTTCACCCATTTTCCCACTTTTTTGTTGGTTCCAGTGAGAAGGTAAATCTAGTTTCCAGCTTGTTACTCCAGCTTGGCCAGAAGCAGGTTCGCTCCCATTTGTATTTTAAAATGCAGTTTGACCAGTCTCGTTATGTTTCCTTTTTTTTTTTTTTGAGACAGAGTCTCACTCTGTTGCCCTGGCTAGAGTGAGTGCCGTGGCATCAGCCTAGCTCACAGCAACCTCAAACTCCTGGGCTCAAGCGATCCTACTGCCTCAGCCTCCGAGTAGCTGGGAATACAGGCATGCGCCACCATGCCCGGCTAATGTTTTCTATATATTTTTAGTTGTCCAGATAATTTCTTTCTATTTTTTTTTTTTTAGTAGAGTTGGGGTCTCGCTCTTGCTCAGGCTGGTCTCGAACTCCTGAGCTCAAACGATCCACCTGCCTCGGCCTCCCAGAGTGCTAGGATTACAGGCGTGAGCCACCGCTCCCGGCGTCATTATGTTTCCTTTTTAAAAATAACTTGTGTTAAGCACACACTGGGTAGCAGTGTAAAACTGAATATCCACAAGCCAGTTTGAATTTAGAATGTTGCTGTGGACAATTGAGAATTAGAAAATGACATAGAATCTGAATATAACATTATTATCTGTATGAAGCAGTGGTTCTCAACGTTGGCCACACATTTGAATCACCCGGGAGATTTAAAGAACACTGATGATTCAGCCCCCACGATTCTGCTTTAATTTGTCCAGAGCCTGGCCTGGACATCAGGATTTTTGGAAGCCCCAGGTGGTTTTGATGTCCAGCCCAGGTAAAGAGCCCCTGGTGAAGTGGCTGCTCCCAGTCCTCCCCCAGTGCTCACAGCCGTCTCCACTCCCCTCCCCGCCTTTCCTCTCTGCGCCTGCTCCTGCCCCCAGCAAGGTCCAGGTTCTCTACGGGGGCACAGACCTGTTCGACTACGAAGTGCGCAGGACCTTCAACAACGACATGCTCCTGGCCTTCGTCAGCAGCAGCTGCATCGCCGCCCTGGTCTACGTCCTCACCTCCTGCTCAGGTAGGTCTCCGCTGATGGTCTGGCTCGGAGACAGCCCCCTTCAGCCCTCCCGGTATGCTCCTGTTGGCCCACAGCCTGCCCTCTCAAGACTGCTGGGGTGCTCTAGAATCCCGCACGGCAGGGGTGGGGACATGGACGGTGCTCAGAAATCATCTTCCAAGCCCAGGCAGGCAAACAGAGGTCCAGAGCCAGATTGGGCCATAGCAGCCTGAGGTCGGGGCCCACCCCCAGGACCTCACACAGTCTGACCTTTGCCATTGGACCTCCTCGCCAAAGCCCTCGTCGGCAGCTTTGCGATGGGAAGCCAGGGTACTGGACTCCCCTTCATGGGTTCTTCTGTAGCCTGTTTTGTGGTCCCAAGTCAGCTGCCCTCCGCCGCCTGCTCCCTTTCCCACCTCCACTGCCCGTGTACACTAGCTGCTTCTTACTGCTGCCTGTATACAGTAGGCATGCTTTATTGCCCAAGTGAACAAAAGCATGGTAATACCTTCAGAAATGGAAAAGACATTCATTCATCGTTGCAACAAATATTTACTGGGCACCAGCTGTGTCAGATACTGTAAGGTGTCAGGGATTTAGACACAGTTCCTACCCCATGGGTGACAGACAGAAAGCGTCTGTGTTCATAAATCCCTGACTTGAGGTAAGGTCTGCGAGGATGAGGTCCCAGGGGCACCCTGACTTACTCACTTGGGCCTCCTGCCCAGTCCCTTCTTTGGGCGTGGGAGGCTGTGCCTGTGCTGGGAGCACACAGGCTGCTGAGGGGCACCCGGTGGGGTGGACGAGGCAGGGACACTAAAGGGGTTTGTGCTCCATGAGGGTCCTGCCCCACCTATCCTTGTGCCTCTGGCCTACCCAGTGTTCCTGTCCTTCTTTGGGATCGCCAGCATCGGTCTCAGCTGCCTGGTGGCGCTCTTCCTGTACCACGTGGTCTTCGGGGTCCAATACTTGGGCATCCTCAACGGGGTGGCCGCCTTCGTGGTGGTGGGCATTGGTGAGTTGCCTCCGTTGCCATGGCAGTGGGCCCCCAGTTGGGAACTTTGCCTCTTCCCCCAAAAGGGGCCTTCTCCCTGGACACAAAGCCTGGCGTCCGTGGGGCTCTGTAAAGCCCCCTCTCCGGCTTAGGCTTTGGGGTTAGAATGTGAGCGGTGGGTGGGTGCCTGGCATGGGGGTGGGAAGAGCAGGAGGGCGTGCTGGTAGGAAGTGTGGGAAGGAGGCTGAGAAGTGGAAGAAGGCGCAGAGTTCTGGCAGGGGTTGGGGCCAACAAGTGTGGCAGGTGGGGCTTGGGCTCTCACGAGTGGAGCTGGGCAGAGGGGTCTTTCCAGACCCAGAGTCCAGGCTGAGAAGCAGGATGTCCTGGGCCCTGACCTCTCAGGAGGCCCCTCAGGGTTGGTCCGGGCCCAGCTCGGGCCTAATCGTGGAGGCAGCAGAGCGGTGCTGATGTTCTCCTGGTCCGACTGCCTCCTGCAGGCGTGGACGACGTCTTCGTGTTCATCAACACCTACCGCCAGGCCACTCACCTGGAAGACCCGCAGCTGCGCATGGTCCACACCATTCAAACAGCTGGGAAGGCCACCTTCTTCACCTCCCTCACCACGGCCGCCGCCTACGCAGCCAACGTCTTCTCCCAGGTGGGGGACCCGCCCCTGCACCCCTGTCCTGTCCTCCCCATCCCTCCCGGTCGTCCCTGGCCCCTGGGCTCTGCGCTTCCCACCCGTGCCCTTTGTGGCCACCCTGCCTTTGCCTGCAGGTACTTGCCATGTCTCTAGGGCCATTTTCGTCACTAATCACCCATTACCGAAACTTAGCATGTAGGAAAATTATAATACTACAAACAGCGTTTATTACTGACGCTCATTAATAGTAATCCAGCCTCCGACCTGAGGGCATTTGACAGCTTCCAGCACGCTTTCACATTTTGTCTTCATTACCCACGAATAAGGACAATTGCCATCCCTGTTTTCCTCATGCAGTGATTTCCTCAAGGTCACACCACTGGTCAAGGCTGAGCCTGACTCAGTCTCCTGGCTCCTGCTCCAGAGCTGCTCCCACCCACCTGTTTCTGCCCCTCGCACTGACTTCTTCCCGCTGGTCCCAGGGGCCTTCCAGCCTCGGAGTGGGGCTCAGAGAAGGCTCTGAGTTTGGCCTGGGTCCTGAGTGCTGGAAGATGATGAGCGGGCCCAAGTCTTTGAGGGACTTTATGACCTGGGCGGAGTAGCCCATCCAGAAACTACTAGATGCTTGGGGATTTTCTGGGTATTCCCGGACAACCACTTCCAGAAAGCAGGCAGAGCTGGGTTCGGTGTCCACTGTGTGACCTTGTGCAGGTTCGTAACCTCTCTGAGCCTCACTTTCCTCATGTGGGTTATTCGGGGACTGGAAAGAGAAGATGATTGTGAAGATGTTTCATGAGGAGTAACAGGCTCGTCTGCTTGTTGGCTACGGTTTCCTTCCAGCTGGCACATTTCTGTGCAGGTCCCTGTGCAGGTCCCCAGGCTCCCTGCTTCCTTCATGTGGCAGCATTCTCCCCCTTCCTCGCTGCCACACGGCCTGCTCTGACAGGCTGTGTCTTCCTTGTCCCCCATCCATTCGGGCAGTGACAGTTACCGAGCACCTCCTACGTGCCAGGCACTGTTCCAGGCAATGGGCTACAGATAGACAGGAACCTCCACTCTCGAGGTGGGGACCCTTCTTTCACTGCTGTGTCCCCTGCAACAGCTCCTGGCTCCTGGTGTCCCTGCAGCCTGGGCCTCCTCATCCTGCCGCTGTCCGGGAGTGGTCTGGGGCCCTGAGCGTCTCCGGCTCCAGGCCTGACCAACCCCACCTCCCTCTCTGCCTCTCCGCCACCAGATCCCGGCCGTGCATGACTTTGGCCTGTTCATGTCCCTCATCGTGTCCTGCTGCTGGCTGGCCGTGCTGTTCACCATGCCCGCAGCCCTGGGCCTCTGGAGCCTGTACCTGGCGCCACTGGAGAGCTCCTGCCAGACCAGGTGAGCTGAGTGGTGTCCTCCCCTTGCTGAACACCCACAGCAGGCCACCGCAGGCCACTTGGCACACCACCCCCTCTCTTCTAAAAGCCCTTGTGGCTCTTTAGTGAGCACCTCCTGTATACCCAGTCCTGTGCTAGGCAGGGGACAAGGGAGGGAGAAGATACCCCTGTCCAGTTACCATTTTTGATTACCTGTGTGGCACCAGGACGTGGGCAAAGCACTTCTGCACAGAATCTTATGACACCACCACCCCCCAGAACCCCTGGGAGCTGGGGCCTCTCATTGTGCCCATTTTACAGATCAGAAAACAAGGACTCAGGGAGGTTGGACAACTTTCTCGGTCACCCATTTAGTAGATAACAAAGCTGGGATTTAAGTGCAAGAACATCTGACTCCAGATCCCAGGCTCTAAGCCGCGGCGTTAGAGGTCCTCAGGTTCTCGTCTTTAGATGTAGTGAGCCGTGTGCAGAGTTGAACGGGTCAGTTCGGAGCTGCGGCTGGAGGTCAAGGGGGAGGGGTCTCTGGTCCTGGTGGTCAGAGAAGGTGGGGTGGTGGGATCGAATCAGGCCTGGGTAGCTGCCTGGCATTAGAAGAACTGGGGGATGACGGAGGGTCTCTGGGCTTGGGGCAGGGCAGGCAAAGGCCTTGGTTGGTGGTTTTCGGGGGTCCACGACAATGTGCACTTGATCATGTGAGCCCAGGAGGGGTCTGGAGGGAGACAAGGGCCTGGCAAGGAGCTCAGGCCTGTGCCTGAGATGGACTCCTCAGCTCTGCTCGCTCACACTCTTCCTTCGAGGCTGCCATGTGTGCACAAGGTCGGGCGCTGCGTGAGAGCACCCCGGCTGGACGCTGCTGTCTGTACCCAGGACATGCACATTTGACTATCTTTATGACAGTTTTGCGGCAGAAACAAAGTGTCCTGGGGAAAGGGCAGCTTTTCTCAATCTCCACAGAGATGCCAAATGACCCTGCCTCGTGTCTTCAGCGGTAGGCGGAAGCCATAGTCCTCCCAGGCAGTCGGACCCGGCTCCGGCCTCAGCCTCTCCGCTTGGCAGAGCGGAAGCTTGAGCAGGTTACTCACCCTCTCTGCGTCTCAGTTTCCTTTTCTCAAAATGGGTGAGCACCGTGTAGGAGCCCTCGAGGCTTAAGTGAGATAATCACATGGGGCACACAGCTCTCTGCCTGGTGCGCAGCACGCATGAGTGTTAGCTGTGTGTGTTCTTGTCCCCAGTCCCTGGCGTGAGCCTCATCTTATCCACGTTTCCTCCAGCCGAGCCTCCACCACGCCAGCCCCAGCCCCAGCCCAACCCTACCCGCCGCCTCCCGGCTCCCCCGGGGATTAGCTGGTGTCAGAGCACCTGGGCCACACGACAGCAAAGGAATGAATCCCTGCTTTGGTCACCTGGGTGCGCTGGCCACTGTGTGTTGTCATCTCTTCTTCCTGGATAATGTCTACTGTCACCATTTTGTCTCCCGAGAGGAAGACTGGCACCTGAGGGCCCCAGGGGGGATGGTACTAGAAAGAAATCAGGTGACTAGCTCCTAGAAGTCTGGGATGCATGTCCCGTGTGTGACGCCAGCAGCAGTGTGATACCTGGGTTCATCTGGTCGCCAGGGCCTTGCCCTGCCCCCTCTGGTTACCCACCACCCTCTGGGCTCACTCTTCTCCCCCACTCTCTCCACAGCTGCCACCAGAAGTGTGGCCGCAAGAGCTCCCTGCACTTCCCTGGGGATGTGTTTGCTGCTTCGGAGCGAGTCGGGGGCAGCCCTGTTCAGGGTCCCATACCCTATCTGGACGATGACATCCCTTTGCTGGATGTCGAGGAGGAGCCAGGTGAGAGCTGGCGTGGGCTGCCCTGATGACCCCGGTGACACCTAGGGGCTGCTCTGGCAGTGGGGGATGTTGACAAGGTGGGCCTGAGGCAGGGGGCTGGACAAGATGGCCTGTGGGCATTAGGCTTCCCTGGGGAGGGTGCAGACCAGGGTGGGCTTTTACTACGGCTTTGACAGGCTGCTGCTCTGCCCTGGCAGTGTCACTGGAGCTGGGAGACGTGTCCCTGGTGTCTGTGTCCCCTGAGGGCCTGCAACCAGCCCCCGACAGGGGTAGCCAAGGCCAGCTCATCACGCAGCTGCAGGAGCTACTGCACCACTGGGCCCTGTGGTCAGCCGTCAAGAGCCGCTGGGTGATCGTGGGTAAGTGGGCTCTCTGCCCCTGCCCCTCTGGCGGTTCCACCCCAGGGAGGGCAAACTCCCCCAAAGAACACGTGGACGCTGGGAGCTCACCCCCTCCCACAGATGCACTAGAGGTGCAATCCCCAACCTTTTTGGCACGAGGGACGGGTTTCATGGAAGACGATTTTTCCATGGCGGAGGCGGAGCTCAGGCAGTGATGCGAGCTAAGTGGAACAGCTGTAAATACAGATGAAGCTTTGCTAGCTCCTGGCCGCTCACCTCCTGCTGTGCACCCCCACTTCCTAAGTTTCATGGAAGACCATTTTTCCACGGATGGGGAGCTGGGGGCGGGAAGTAAGGGGAAGGGAACTCTACTGCCTGGTTCCTAACGGGCTGTGGACCAGTACCAGTCCAGGGGGTTGGGGACCGCAGCACTAGAGGTCAGAGGCCCAGGTCTGTCACTCTCTGGACCGCACCTTCTTCCTGGGTAGAGTGAAGCTAGTCCTACAGTAGCGGCTGCTGACTGGTGCCAGTCATCACTCTGGGCAGCAGAGTGCGTAATGCTTGGACTCTGGAGTCAGAGCCACTTTGAATCCCAATTCTGCCACATACTTGCTGTGTGATTTTGGCTATGTCAGTCTGTTTGATGCTCAGTGCCCCATCCTGTAATCGAGGATAAGAATAGTGTCTGACAAGGCAGGTATAAGGAGTGCAAGAGTGTATATAAAGAGCCTGGCCGGGCGCGGTGGCTCACGCCTGTGATCCTAGCACTCTGGGAGGCCGAGGCGGGAGGATCGCTTGAGCTCAGGAGTTTGAGACCAGCCTGAGCAAGTGCGAGACCTTGTCTCTACTAAAAATAGAAAAATTAGCCGGGCATGGTGGCACGTGCCTGTAGTCCCAATTACTCAGGAGGCTGAGGCAAGAGGATTGCTTGAGCCCAGGATTTTGAGGTTGCTGTGAGCTATGATGACACCACGCACTCTAGCCCGGGCAACCAATCGAGACTCTGTCTCAAAAAAAAAAAAGATCTTAGCTCTGGGCATGGCATGGAGTAAGTGCTCAATAAATGTTTAGTGCCATTATTACCACCCTCTTCCACAGTATTGTAGAGCTGCGTGAAATCGGATGGCTGTTTCAGCTCTTACGGACTATGAAGTGCTCTTGTCTGGGAGTGTTGGCTTATAGCTTACAGTCAGACCCCTGGGACACCACACTTAACAACCAACCCCTATCCCTGGGAGGACCTGTCCCCAGCAAGCTTCACCTGCTGGCTGGCGTGCTGGGCCTGTGCCCACTCCCTTGGGACACCCCCCCATAGTGACAGCAGCTCTCCCCAGGGTCTGGGAGGCCTGGCTATGAGTTTGCCACCTGGGCCCCGCCCTGCCTAGTGCAGCGTCCTTCCCTCGCAGCGCTGTTTGTCTCCACCCTCGTCCTGTCCCTGGTGTTCGCCAGCCGGCTCCGCCCCGCCAGCCGGGCCCCACTGCTCTTCCGGCCCGATACCAACATCCAGGTGCTGCTGGACCTCAAGTACAACCTGAGTGCTGAGGGCATCTCCTGCATCACCTGTTCAGGTGAGGGTTCCCAGCTGGGGCGTCCTCTTCCCTGTTTGGTGTCCACGTCTCAAAGACTGTTGGCCTGAGAAAGACAAGATCCGGGCTCCCCACCACTGGTGATCTCAGGCACACCACACTCGACTCTGAGCCTCAGTGCTCGCACGGTTCATCAAACAAATGCTTGCTGGCTGCCTGCTGGGTGCTGGCCCTGGGCAGGTGCAGCGGGTGGGAGAGATAGGCTTCCGGAGCTCAAGGAGTCCACATGCCAGTGCTGGGGACAGGTCATTGTAACAGCAGATCCGAGCTTTGGGGGAGGAAGGACAGGGTGCCTTAGGGGCACAGTACCATGGAAGGCTTCCTGGAGGAGGTAGTGTCTAAGCTGAGACCCAAAGGACTGGAAGCAGTTCGCCAGGCCAGGGGAACTGGTGGGGGGAGGAGGGGGGTCCTAGCAGAGGGGGCGCCAGAGATGGGAGAGACCAGGGCAAGTTCTAGAGAGGTGGTTGCAGGAGCTCAGGCTGGCCAGGTGGGCTGGGCCAAGCCAGCGGGGCTCAAGTGAGGAGCCTGGATTCTATTCCACGTGACACTGGAAACTAGTGGGGGGGTTAGGCCGAAGGGCGGTGATCGAGTGCCCCAGGTGCCATGTAGATTGGGGGCTGGGGAAAGGCAAATGAGGGCAGCGTGCTGAGGGTGGCGTTGGTGTCAGAGATGAGCAGAGAGGGGAGATAAAGGTGTCTCCTTGCCTTGGAGGTGGTCCAGGCCCTCATTTTACAGAGGGGGAGCCTGCTGTCTGGGTTGGAAGTGAGTGGCCAAGCCAAGGTCATCGGCTCTGCCAGGGCAGTGAGAAAGCCAAGGGGAAGATGCTTGGGGGAGAGCCTCCCGCTCACAGGAGCGGAGCCGCCGGCTGCTGTAATTGCCTTCATTTAATTAGGGCGGTGTTCAGATTAACCTGGCCTTCCCCGTGGTAATGGCAGCCAAGTGCATGATAATCGACTGCAGCTCAGAGAGATGCCTGAAGAGCCCCTCGTAAATGGGAGCCAGCCCTGGCCACATCCCCAGCTCCTCTCCCCGCTGCCTGGGCGTAGGATCACACCCCGTTATCACTGCTGTTGGCCCTGCCCTCCCAGGGCCTGGCTGCCATTCCACAGACAGCCAAACCCAGGATGGTCCCAGAGTTCCTGGACAGCACCTCGAGGGGAGCTGGGACTCCAGTCACTCTCGTCTTTGTGAACTGCCCCTTGGAGGGGCCCTTCGTGGTACAGCAAGAGCACCTGGGCTTTAGAAAGGACAGGTGAGGCCACTGGGGGCTGCTCCCCTCGCTGCCTCGCTGCCTCGTGCGGGTCTCTTAGCCTCCCTGCGGTGGACCTCTGCTTTCTCCTCCGCCAAGCGTAATTCGTAATAATGGCCTCCCAGGATTGCTGGGAGGATTAAAACTTTTAAAGTGTAAAGTTTTAATTTAAAAAAATTTTTTGAACTTTTTTTTAAAAACACTAAGAAAACTAACACACAATGCTTGAGGCAAAGCAGAAATATCATCCCCATCTCTGCCAGTCGCTAATGTTTCCTTTCCAGTCGCTCCTGTCAGTGGAGCATTTAGCACGAGCCAGACAGGTTGCTAAGTGCAGGGGACCCAACGTCCCTTCTCATTCCTCAGCCCCCTCTGTGGGAAGCACAGCATCCCCCACTTGCCGGAGGACAGCGACACCCAGGGAGGGCGAGCAGCGAACGCACCAGGCCTCTCTCTGGGCAGGGCTGCACCCACCTTTCCTTTGGCCTAGGAGTTACAAGTTCAGTATTGGATGGTTTTTTAAGTTCTCTCTAGTTTCTGACCTCTGACACCTACCCACTCCAGTCCCCGGGCCCCAGTTCCTGGGACTGTCACGGATCCCAGCCTCTGCCCTCTGCCTGCTGCCCACCAGGCCCCAGTGGGGAGGCCCTGCTGTCCCTGATGGGGGGCGGGGGGCAGGTCTGTTCCAGGAGAAGCCCCACAGCCTGCAGAACAACATCCGGACGTCCCTGGAGAAGAAGAAGCGAGGCTCAGGGGTGTCCTGGGCCAGCCGGCCTGAGGCCACCCCACAGGGTAAGCGCAGGGAGTGGGGTTTCAGAAAATCCTCCTGGGTACTAGAGTGTGGGGACCCTGTACAGGGAGCAGATAAAGTTCGTTCCTGATCCTCCTGCAAGAACGAGGGCCTGTGCTGCTGGGTCACTGTGGGCGGGGCTGGATACAGGGTGAACCTGGGGCCCTCACCCCCATCCCAGCAGCTCTCCTGGGCCAGGACAGTGGGCTCCCCCTGCCACCCCCCTCGCTGTGCACCAAAGCCACCCTGAGGGTCTGGGGCAGGGGAGGGGGTGCCCTGGGCCCTGGACACTGGTTTATCCCTGCTGGGGTCTCCATCCGAGGTAAGTTACTGGGACAAGTGTACTGTGGGAGTGAACCTTGTCACCCCATGGCATTGTCACCACCTCTGTCCTCACCGTGGTCATTCCGAGCACCAGCCCCACCGTTCACACTGTGGCCCCCATCGATGGCATCACTGTCCTAGTCCACCACTGGCACATACTCCTCCATAGCTGTCATCCCACTGTCCATGCCACACCCCATCCTGGTGACCACCTCTCCCACTGTCATTGCTGTGGGCCTGGTCCAGTAGAGAGGGACAAAGACAGCATTTGGAGACAAGCCCAAGGTCAGGGCTCAGCTCCTCTGTCAACAGAGCCAAGGGTGGGCTGCTCCAGGCTCAGGAGAATCCGGTGGAGTTGACTGTCCACCCCCTTCCATCCCTCGCTTGTCCCTAGACTCCCTGGGCACTGTGTTCATCTCCAGAGTGAAGAGTAAAGGCCACCCAGCTGTCTACAGGCTCTCCCTCAATGCCAGCCTGCCTGCTCCTTGGCAGACCGTGTCCCCTGGGGATGGAGAGGTGCCCTCTTTCCAGGTGAGCCTGGGCTGTCCTGAAGTGCACTGCCCCACTGGGGGAGGGGCCCTCAATGCCACACTGGTGGGCGCTGGCCGCATAGGGAGAGAGAAGCGGGGTTCTTGCGGATGGGGCTCCTGCCAGCAGATAAGGCCCCCACCCCACCCCCAGATCAGCCAGGTCTATGGCAAGGACCTTCCAAGTGGTAACAGCGTGGGCTTCCGAGTCAGCCAGGCCTGGGTTTGAGTCCTGACTCTATCGTTTATAACCTGTGTGTCCTTGGGCAGGTAACTTAATCTCTCTGAGCCTCAGTTTTCTCATTTATGAAATGGGGGCATAAAAAATACCAGCCGGCATCGGCAGAGGCACATGAGGTGGGGCCTGTGCAGTTCGGAACATCTGGGGGGTCGCAAGTGCTCAGTAAACGGGAGCCATTAGCTAGTCTTGTTCCTGGCAGCTGTGCCAGTGCCCCAGAGAGAGTCTCCAAGGGCCAACCCAGACTTGCGCTTTTCCCCTCACAGGGGTCATCTGTGTTTCTTTGACATGTTACACCCTCCAGGGTGACAATGACGTATGTCAGGTCATTTGCTCAGGTTTATATTTCCATTGGAAGGATGAGGTCTCTGAGGCATATCCTGACTCTGAGCCTTTGCATTTGCTGTTCCCACTGCTTCGAAAGCTTCCGTGCAGCTTACTGTGCGGCTGACTCCTTAGTGCTCATTCGGGTGTCCGCACAAACGTCAGCCCCCGGAGAGCCCTGTCCCAGCCACCCTTCTCGCTGCGCCCTCTTCCTCGCTGCCGGTTATGCTCTGCCTTGTCATCCCAAGACAAGGGGGCCCTCGTAACTGCCAGCTCCATGGGGCCGGGACCTTGCCTGTCCTGCTGGCTGCTCTACCCTCAGAGCCTGGCGCAGGGCCCCGCACACAGTGGCTGCCCAGTGAGCAGTTGTTGGAGGAAGAAGTGAGGCTCAGAGAGGGAGGAAGGATTTGCTCAAGTTCCGAACTCAAACCCAGGCCTCCTGAGCCCAGGGCTCTGTCCCCCACTTTGAGGGCCGGGACCGGGTGAAATATGCTGAGGATGGAGGGGACGGAGCCTGAGGCCGGGCCCAGGCCGAGGCAGCCCCCCCGAGTCACGTGTCTTGTCTCTGTCAACCCACTGCTTAGGTGTATAGAGCGCCTTTTGGTAACTTCACCAGGAAGCTGACCGCTTGTATGTCTACAGTAGGGCTGCTCCAGGCGGCGAGCCCCTCCCGCAAGTGGATGGTGACGACCTTGGCCTGTGACGCCAAACGGGGCTGGAAGTTTGACTTCAGCTTCTACGTGGCGTCCAAGGAGCAGCAGCACACCCGGTAACAGAGCCTCGCGGCTAAGCCAGGCCGGCCCGTTCCTTCCTTCTCTCTCTCGTCTGTCCTTTCACGTGAGAGACGTTAGCAGGCACCTGTAAGAAACTCCTGTCCGTTTCCACGCACCTGTTCAGATGTTCCTTTGCCCGGGGATGGGAGAGGGGGCATTGGCAAAGACAACAGGCCTGCGACCTGCTCCTCCAGCCCTGTCACCGCTCCCCCTCTGAGGGCTCTGCAGGGGTCACAGTGGCCGCCTTGCTGTTCCTCCAGCTCAGTAGGCACCTTTGCACTGGCCGGTCCCTCTGCCTGGAATGCTCTTCCCCAGCCCGTCACGTGGGTGGCTTCTCAACATTCAGGTCTCTACCCAAATGTCATCTCCTGGGAGAAGCTCCCTCCCCCATCTAAAGGCACCATGCCCAGCCTTTCCCTGCACGTTACCCGCTGCTCTCCTCCTGGTGCCATTGTCACCTGACATTGTGCTGACCTGGTGTATTACGTGTCTTCCCTCGGGAGCACATCCCATACCCACCCTGTGGTGGCACCTAGACTGCCTTGTTCGGTGCTGTGCCCCCGCACCCCATAGAGTGTCTGGGCACATGGCAGGTGCTCGATAAGTACCTACTGAATGAATGAACAGATGGATGGATGAGCGCGCACTGCACTTCCTCTCCAAGGCACTGTCCACATTGTAAATATATAACTAATTCAGAAAATATTTATTTAATCCCCCCCAACCATACAGGGCATGAGGAGAGGGCCGTGTCTGTGTATTTGTCTCCGTGGGCCAGTCCCTGCCAGCGCCCGGCGTGGACTAGGTCCCTGCTGCGAGCCGAATGAGAGCTGCGCTCTGTGCGCGCGGGGTCTCCGCGCCGGCCGGCGCGTCTTTTCCCTGGTTTCATTCCCTGTGTTCTGAGATGGCACCACGTCCCTTTGTCCGTGGAGGCTGTATTAGCCAAGGGTCTCCTCTCTCATCTGTTCACTGGTTTAACAAACCATGAGCACCAACTATGCGGCACTGTGCTAGGGCCAAGGACACTGGTGACAAAGACAGATATGACTCCTGCCCTCGGGCCGTCTAGCAGGAGACAGATAGCTAACAAGTAAACAGCAGTGTCGTTGCAAATGATGCTGTGTGCTCCGAGGGAAAGAGCCCCGCTGCCGGGCTGGTGGAGAACAGCAGAGCCGGCCTGCACAGTGACATGGGACTGTGGTCTCTGACAGGGACTGGCTTCAGGGCCTCGAGCACCCGCACAGGGCCAAGCCCCGCTTGGGGCAGAGGGTGCAGCTTAGAGGCAGGGGGACAAGCAGGACAGCCCTCGCTGGGTCCTTTCCAGCCTGGCACCCTGAGTCAGGGGTGAGGGTCCCTCTGCCTGCCCATTCCTGCGCCCAGGGTGGGGCGTCTTCTGCACATGCACATCAGCAACCTGCTTGGATGAGCCTAAAACATTCTAGAAAGAACTTTGAGCTGCATTAGGTCCGGCGCTTAGCAAACTGACCGTGGAACCCTTTCTCCAGACAACCTCAAGACTCGCTCGCCGTTCAGATTGAGGCAGGGCTGGGGCTTCTGAGCGGGGCTACCGAGGCTGGCCCTGGCCCTCTGAACACTCACACTCCCTGGGGGACAGCCTGAGAGCTGCTCGTCTCCTCTGCCCCTCGTGCCACCTGTGGGGAGACAGAGGCCCGGGGAGGGGAGGGCCAGGCTCCTACATTCAGCCTCAGCAGGGGTGGGCCTAGAACAGGCCTCCAAACCCCCAGCCTGGGCACTTCCCCCAGCCCCCAACCTAAGGCCAACTCCCTGGTGGGGGTGGGGGTCAGGAGGGAGAGCCTGAGTCCAGTGCCTGCCCAGCCCCCGCCACAGTCGCGCTGGCCTTGCCTCCCCCACCCCTCCTGGCTCTTCCGGCCTCAGCCCTGCCTTCCTTGCCTCTGCAGGAAGCTGTACTTTGCTCAGTCCCACAAGCCCCCCTTCCACGGGCGCGTGTGCATAGCGCCTCCCGGCTGCCTGCTCAGCTCCAGCCCCGACGGGCCGACCAAAGGCTTCTTCTATGTGCCCAGTGAGAAAGGTACGCGGGCACGTGGTGGGGCCCCGGAGCCGGGCCCTGCTTCCCTTACAGCTCTGACTCCCGCCCTGCAGCGTCCCAGGCCCGCCTCTCGGCCACCTTCGGCTTCAACCCCTGTGTGAACACGGGCTGCGGGAAGCCGGCCGTGCGGCCCCTGGTGGACACCGGGGCCATGGTCTTCGTGGTCTTCGGCATCATTGGCATCAACCGCACTCGGCAGGTGGACAACCACGTGATCGGCGACTCGGTACGCGGGTTCCCACGACAGGCTTACAAATAAGTGCCGGCCCACGGGGCCCCCAGCCCAGCTCCTCACACCCCTACTTGGGCCCCTGGTGGTTCGTCCCGCCCTAATAGGACCCCACAGGCTCCTGGGGGCACTTTTCTCTTGAGGACTGGGCAGGGTTGGCCTCTGAGAGTCACCCAGGAATCTGGGTACGTCTTTCGGCCCAAGCTGGCGGCCCATCTCCATGAGGGAAGTCAGGCGAGTGAACCTCCCTGCCCCCTCCCTGCGCCCTGGGCAATGGCAGCCGGTGCTGCCAGCCTGGCGTGGCGCCCTCCGCTCTGAGGCTCCCTCCTCTTCCACACCCTGCACGGGGCTCTGCGGCTTTTGAAGGCAGAGAGGGAGCCATCCTGCAGTGGGTGCAGTGGGTGGTGAGGATCGTGGCAGGACGGACGGGTGGGCCCTGCCTTTAGAAGTCAGTCCGGCGGGTTGCCAGGAATGACAGATGTGAAGTAAGTTGGGAGCAAGGTGCGGGTGGAGGAGGTCTGTCTGTTGTGTCCCGGGTGGGGTTCTGCATGTGTTCAGAGCAGGGGGCCGGGAGGCCAGTGTGGGGACAGGTAGGACATGGCTGTCTGGGAGGGAGGTGGGAAGCAAGAAGTCCAGGTGAGAGTGTGCTGGGTGAGGGGAAAGGTGAGGCTAGGGCGCAGGGCAGAGTGGCATCAGGGGGGACAGTGGGCGACCAGGCAGGGGGTTGCAATGTAAGGGTAACTGGGGTGGCAGGGAGGTTCTTACCTTGGGCGGGGAGAGGCGGGATGGAAGACTGAGCCCCTGTCTCACCGAGTGGCCCGGGCCGGCCTGTGTCTCCTTGGGAAAGGGCAGCGTCATCTACGACAGCAGCTTCGACCTCTTCAAGGAAATTGGGCACCTGTGCCGCCTCTGCAAGGCCATCGCGGGCAACTCGGAGCTGGTGAAGCCGGGCGGGGCGCAGTGCCTGCCCTCAGGTGCGGGGTGGGAGCCGGCTCCTCTGAGCAGGGACAGACTGGGGAGACCATGGAGGCCACAGTTCAGGGGTGCACAGCCCGAAGGACACATGCCTGGCCTGTGGGTGTCTTCGCAGACGTGCGTCTGTGCTTGAGTGTGTCCACGCCGGGGGGGGGGGGGGGGGGTGCATGTGCCGGCAGTTAAGCGTGTTCCAGATGAGAGCAGGCTGTGTGTGAACAGGGGCTGGCGCGGAGGTGTGCATGGGGGCGCTGGGGCACACCTGCAGGAGTAGCTTTTCCAAAACTGGCCCACGGGTAACCTGGATGAGGCCGTGCCAGGGCTGTCCCTAAGAGGGCCCCAAATGTCATTTCCACCCCAGTGACAAACCTGTGGTGTGGGTTTCCCAGTGACATTGCCAGTGGTTTCAAACACTGTTTAAACCTTGGAGGTAGGTGAGTGCCTGGGCTCTTCCAGGTCCCCACCCGCCCACTCACGCCCCTTTCTCGCTTCTCCCCACAGGCTACAGCATCTCCTCCTTCCTGCAGATGTTGCACCCCGAGTGTAAGGAGCTGCCTGAGCCCAACCTGCTCCCAGGGCAGCTGTCCCACGGGGCGGTGGGTGTGAAGGAGGGCCGCGTGCAGTGGATCTCCATGGCCTTCGAGTCGGTGAGCCCCGGGCGGCTGCGTTAGGCACCTTGCCAAGGGCTTGCCTTGCAGTGTCACCTCTGATCCCTGGCCCTTGTCCCAGATCAGGGGACTGAGACTTAGAGAGGTGGAATGACTTGCCCCAGGTCACACAGTTAGTGGGCGTCAGCAGCAGTGCTAAACCAGGCCGTCTGACTGCAGAGCTCTGCCCTTTCTGCCCCTCAGACAGTGGCGAGCTCCCCTCCACCCTCCCTGTCTGCTCCCTCCCTCCCTCCCCACCAACCCGCAGTCCACATCATTTTGCAGCCTCAGGCTGTAGGGGCTGGTGGGCATCCAGAATGTTCCCCTCTGCCACTGCGGGAGGCCGGAGCTGGGGCCACAGACCCTGGTGACGGGCCTCCCTCAGGGTGGCCAGGAGACAGGCCATCCCACACACTTCCCTGCTGCCTGCGTCACCCCTGGATACTCCCTGGGCTCGGCCCGAGGAGGCACATGTGCACACGCATACATGCACATACTCGCACCACACACACGCCTCTGACCTGGGCACGCACGAGGCCTCAAGGCTCCGGCACTTGGCTCTCTGAGGCTTGGTACGTCTATCCCTGCTGCCTCCATGCAGAGACCACTCCTCGCTCTGATCCTGGTGTGCTCTGTGTCCTTGAACAAACCGCTCGTCCCCTCTGACCTCAAGTTCCTCACCTAAGAATAGCATTGAAGATCCCGCCCTCCTCGGGCAGGTGTGGAGATGGCACACGCAGACCCGGGGCTAAGAGCAGCAGTGACCAGGTTACAGGTGGGCGGTGACTCTTCCCCTGCCCAGCCCTGTCTTCCTTCCTGCCATCTGTGTCACTCGCTGCGCAAGCAGCGAAACCACTGGCACCAGCCGGGAGGGCCCAGAGCCCTCAGCGAGCCCCCAGGCTGATGCAGACACGAGGTCAAGCCCCGGATAGGTTTGTAAAAGATTTTCCTTAAGTGGTAAATATATGTAACAGAAAACTTAGCATCTTAACCATTTTGAAGCGTACAATTCGGTGGCATTAAGTACATTCACAGTGTTGTGCAGCCACCACCACCGTCCATCTCCAGAACGTCTTCATTTTCCCAAACTGAAACTCTGTCTCCGTTAAACACTACCTCTCCTCCCGCCAGCCCCCGGCACCCGCCATTCTACTTTCTCTGTGAATCTGGCACCTCTAGGGACGTCCTGTGAGTGGAACCATACGGTATTTGCCCTTTTGTGACTGGCTCATGGTACTTAGCATGACGTCACAGTTCATCTGTGTTGTGGCACATCCAGAACGTTCTTCCTCTTGCAAGCCGAAGCCCCAGTTTCAGAGAGGAGCGCAGTCCCTGTTCAGGCTCGTCCACAGGGTGCCCACTTCCAAGCTGACCCACTGACACGCAGACACACGCGCACACGGACGCTCTGTACACTGGCGTGTGCTCGGTGAGAGCAGAGCTGGGCCAGTGAGATAACATAAGACGGTTCCAGAGCTGAGTGAGTGCCCGTTTCTCTCATTGATCATTCATGTCCTGTGAACATCCTCAAGGCTGGACGCTGAACCACACAGGCTGCTGCTGCCCTCGCGGACTCAGAGTCCCAGCAGGGTCGGGCAGGCTGCCAGGCAGTGATGGGCTGTGACGGGGAAGCACCGAGGGCTTGGGGCACCAAGGAGGGCTTCCTGGAGGGGGAACCCCAGCAAGCTTTGAAGGATGCATATGGGCTGGCTGTGCTGCAGTGGGCGCGACATGAGAGTGTGGGGGGTTCTGGGAGATGAACGTAGTTCTGGTGGAAAGGGACAGGGACTTTGGCTGCATCTGAACCTGCTGCTGTAACGATCACGTGATGCCTCCAGAGCCTGCTGGGAACTTGTTTTCGATTGGGTCATCGTTCGCACCCCCACCACACACAGCACACTCCACTGGTGGCCACAGAGCGGACTAGCCACGCCCCGGGAAGGGTGAGCAGACCACGGTCCCCGCCTGCCTCACCAGCTCATGTCCCCGCAGACCACGTACAAGGGCAAGTCCTCCTTCCAGACCTACTCGGACTACCTGCGCTGGGAGCGCTTCCTCCAGCAGCAGCTGCAGACCTTCCCCGAGGGCTCGGCGCTGCGCAGAGGCTTCCAGACCTGCGAGCACTGGAAGCAGATCTTCATGGAGATCGTAGGCACGCGCAGCCCTGCCCCGACCCGGGCCCCCAGGGGCTGAGGCACAGGGGACCTGGGGCAGGGAGGGCGTTCATGGCCTTTCTGAGTCACACTCTTGTCATCTTCTCAGTCCTGGCCAAGAACCCTGGAAGCCAGGATGACATGGTGGCCAGGATGCTGATCAGAGACCCCAGTTTGGGTCTCCTCCTGCTCACGGGCACCTGGCCACATTCTCTGATCTTGACTTTGGTCCCTAAAAGGTAGCCGTCACGACCATGACAGCAGCTGTCAGTGACGGGCCCTTTCTAGGCTCCAGGCCTCACGCTGAGGGCCTGCCCTGTGTCAGCTCTTAAATGCTGAACAGGCCTGGGGTAGGTCCTGGGGTCACCCCACTTTACAGATGAAGACATGGGGGCCCAGAGGGTCAGGGGCCCACACAGAGTGCTGGCTGTGACTGCCCACCGTGCAGCCCCGCTGAGCCCCTCTCGCCTTGCAGGGGTGCAGAGCGCCCTGCACGGGCTGGCGCTGTCCCTGCTCATCTGCGTGGCCGCGGTGGCCGTGTTCACCACCCACATCCTGCTCCTGCTGCCCGTGCTCCTAAGCATCTTGGGTACGTGAGTGAGGGGTTGACGGGCGCCAGGCCGGTAGGGGCAGGAGCAGGCAGGGGTCTCCCTGGTGGCCCCAAGCTAGCAAATTTCACTGAACCCTTGACTGTCAAATCTCCTCAGTGAAGGCTTCCTGGCCACCCCCACCCCAGGCAAAAAGAACGTCTGCCCAGAGCCATCTGTGACAGTGGCTCATGGGACTGTCTCCCCCACAGTCTGTGCTCCCCAGGCAGCGCTGGTGTCCCTAGGAGGCAGCTTTCAGCTCAGTGACATGTTGCTGCACCTGCCCCCTCCCTGGGGCCCCGACACTCTCTAAACCTGGCTCTCCCCCTCCCTCCTGTCACTCGGGGTGGGGTTGGACTCGACCTCCCCACTCTACAGGGGCCCTCCAGGGCTGTGCTGTGGTGAAGGGGGCGTCCAAGCCGCCTTCGCCACCAACTGTCTTGCAGGCATCGTCTGCCTCGTGGTGACCATCATGTACTGGAGCGGCTGGGAGATGGGCGCCGTGGAAGCCATCTCCTTGTCCATCCTCGTGGGCTCCTCCGTGGATTACTGTGTCCACCTGGTCGAGGGCTACCTGCTGGCCGGAGAGAACCTGCCTCCCCACCAGGCTGAGGTGAGCACCTGCCTGCCTTGCCCCCCGCCCCCCAGCAGATCCTCCACCTCAGCACAGCTGGGGGACCCCCAGGACAGCTGGACACCCCCAGTACTAGACCCCCCAGCAGGCTGTGTTCTGGGAACTGGGTTCCCAAGGCTGATCCGCAAGCCCCAGGGACTCAGATTCTAGCTAGGTAGGTCCTCGCCCCCCAGCCTCAGTCTCCCCACGTGAGCAGTGAGGGGACTGGGCCAGAAGAGGATGTCCAAGGCCCTTCGTGCTTCACCTTTCCCGGGGTCCAGCCGTGACCCTCCAGCCCCCCTGTGGCTTGGTGAGGACATGTCCATGACCTCGCTGGCTGGCAAAGCGCTTTCCTTTGTTTAGAATTGTGTCTGCGTGAAAACTTTCACAAGTATGTGGAAGTCAAGTCAGTTATACCTGTAACTGCCTTTGGTGGAAAGAAAGCAATTCCCACCAGGGCCGCCGTTTAGGAAGACCTACCGTGTCCCGTCACCATAGCAACATGCGCCATGTGCTACGGGGGGGCGCCACATGCTCCCCGGCCCCGAGGGTCCCCAGCGCTGGCTCTCTACCCAGGATGCGAGAGCACAGCGCCAGTGGCGCACCCTGGAGGCCGTGCGACATGTGGGCGTGGCCATCGTGTCCAGCGCACTCACCACGGTCATCGCCACGGTGCCACTGTTCTTCTGCATCATCGCCCCATTCGCCAAGTTCGGCAAGATCGTGGCGCTCAACACGGGAGTGTCCATCGTCTACACGCTCACCGTCAGCACCGCACTGCTCGGCACCATGGGGCCCGGCTCCTTCACGCGGACCAGGACTTCCTTCCTCAAGGCCCTGGGCGCCGTGCTGCTGGCGGGGGCCCTGGGGCTGGGCGCCTGCCTCGTGCTGCTCTGGAGCGGCTATAAGATCCCGCTGCCCACTGGGGCCGCCCTATAGCTGGGCCTGGCCCTTGACTCATGCACCTTTGGCCCAGGGTGGGGGACAGGACGCCCCTCTTTACCGCAGGGATGCTGTTCTCCAGCTCGGCTCCAACTAGCCATGTTCCCAGGCCTGGGCCCAAGGCACCCTGCGGTCCACTCCCACGCTGTGGGGACCGCACTGCCTTCCCCCCACCACGGAGCCGGAGCTGGGAGGTGGAGCCACAGCCCTGTGTGTCCCCCTGAAGAGACCTCCCCTCTTCCTGTGCTGGTCACCACGAAGGCCAGGTGGCTTTTGTGGGGGGGTCTCCCTGCCACACTGCCTCAGTGCTCACAACCTTCTTGTGTGGGTGTCACAGGCCCCCATTCTACAGATGTGAAGATTGAGGCACCAAGAGGCAAAGTGCCCTATAGCGGGGTTGGTGGCAGAGCCAGCGCTGTCTCCCGAGCCTCATGCACTTGGGGGCCTTGCCGGAAGAGCACAGTGGATTCTGGGCAGGGCCTCACCCCCTGCCCCTCCTTCTCTCCCTTCAGCTTGACAGAGGCCAGTGCTGAGTGGCCCAGTGGCCCTCCCCAGGCCTTTCACTCCTGGCAGAGAGGACAGAGGGACTGGGCTTGGGCTTCTGCATGTCCTACCCCGGCGCCAGCCTCCAGGAGCCCCTCTGAGGCCTTCCCTGGGGGCTGTGGGGCCCAGCAGAGCTCTCCTCACAGATCCAAGCCCCCATCTCCCCCACCCAACTCTGAGAGAGACGGTTTCGGGGGTGGCCCCTATGGGGAGGAGCTGTTCGTGCCTGTAGCCTGCTTGTGGCAGAGGGTTCCTTTTAAAGAGAAATGAAACCACAGACCACTGCTGCTAACACGTGAATTTGAAACACTGCTGGCCCTGTTGTATTCCTAAAGTTGAAGCAATTACTTACAAGCTGCCCAGCTGGAACTCAGCACAAAGGGTGGGGCTGGCTTTGGAAGGAGATGGGCGTGGGCGAGAGGGTGCCTGACCTTCCTGGGAACGAGGTCACAGGTGTTCTGGGAGCCCGGAGTGAGGCCGGGGGCCTCCCCTGGGAGGCAGGGCTCAAAAGATGCTTCTTTCCTTAATGGGCTCCTCTGGCTGCACAGTTGGGACATTTTGAGCACCTGTGAGATGCCTGGCATTGTGCTGGGCACAGACCTTTCTCCTTGGGGACGGACATTGCCCCCTGGGCTTTATGGCACTGGACACAGACCGAGCTGGAACTATCCCTGAGGGCGGGAAAGAAATCAAGGGTGGTCTCTGGGCCACTTAGCTGGTCGTCTGTAAATATCAACTGGGGGCTGGGGGTGCAAGACAGATGGGTGTCACTTGTCCCCTGCCCAGTACCTGTCAAGGGAGTATCAGCCCTTTGGGCCCACCATCAGGGTGAAGGAGGACATCAGACAGTTAATGACACCAGCTGACAGCACTGACTGTGCTGGGCGCTCTTCTCAAGGTTTGTGTTAGTGTCCCGGGGCTGCCATGATAAAGTGCCACACGCTGTTGAAGCTTCTAAACTTTGTTAAAACTTCAACAAGTTTATTCCCACGCAGTTCAAGAGGCTGGAAGTTGAAGGTGTTGGCAGGGTGGGTTCCTCCTGCAGGCTCTGAAGGAGGGTCGGTCCCAGGTTTTTCTCCTATAGCGTCTGCTGGCTGCCAGCACACAGACCTGGTGTCCCCAGCATGTGGGTGCAGCACACCAGTCTCCGCCTGGTCTCCGTCTTCACATGGCCGCCTTTTCTCTTTGTCTATGTCATCTTCCTTCACACGAGGGACGCCAGTCATTGGATTAGGCCCCACCCTGAGCGTCGTAATTTGATCACCTACAGAAACCCTGTTTCCCAATAAGTTCACGTTCACAGGTACCAGGGACACAGTCCGTCCCCCAGCACGGCTCGGCATATCTCAGCTCATTTGTCACCTTTGGGCGGCAGGTGCCAGCACCCCCGTGCACACACGGGCAGCAGGGACCCGAGAGATTGACTTGTCTGCCATGCAGTTAGTGAGCCAGCCGGCCTGTCCCCGGGTGTCCTCAGCCACTAAGGCGCACAGCCTCTCATGACAGTTGGAACAAAGCCTGACGACAGCTGTAGGGACACACGGGGTTGGTGGTCACATCAAGGCGTTCTTGGAAAATCCGAAGAGAAACCCTTGTGTCTGATGGTAATTCATACTTTCGCATTTTCCCGTCGGCCCTCTGTGAAGTCTGCACCCCGAGGCCCAGCCGCGAGTGCTGTGTTGGAGGGGGGCTCACGCCCCGCAGCACACAGCCCGAAGGGGCAGATCAGGGGCTCCGCGGGGCTCTGGCCCGGGACCCTCTGGCAGCCCCCACATGGGCAAGGCCACATCTACAGGGCCAGTCCTCTTTCCAAGGACTGGGGCAGGCTTATGGGATATGGCCAGGGTGAGGAGGTGGGGAAGGGGAGGGGGCTGACAAGTTGACAGGACATCCCAGAAGTGCTTAGAAAGAGGACCTACATCTGCAAGTTCTTGTCCCAAGACCCTCCCAATAACCTAATTTTAATGTGGAGGTGGAATTATTTGCATATCATTTGCATACACTCCAAATAACGCCCATTTGTAAAGAAACCCTCGCCAAGCCCACTTCCCTGCTTTGAAAGAACGGCTCCTCTTCCCTTCCCTGGGCCTCTCTTTCCAGGGTTTTGTGGGGTGTTGGGCCAGCATGTCAGGGTTGGAGGGGGCCAGGCTGTGTCACTGTCACCTACCCCCAAGGTGGCCAGAGCTCCCACATCTGTACAGCTCTGATGTGACCCTCCTGACTCTCTGGTGAGCGGGGTTCCCATTTCGCAGATAAGCACACTGAGGCCCAGAGGGGAAGGGAAGCGCACACAGCACGCTGCCAGGCGGCTTCTGACCAAGGTCTTGCTCCCTCCGGCCTCTGGCCAGGCTCACCTCTGTGGGTGGCATCCTCGACTTCAGATCTGTACCATCTTGTCCCGTGAGGCCCTGCATGGTGACTGATCTGTCTCCCTCCCAGGGCAGGGCTGGGGCAAAGCTGGGGGAAGGATACGGGTGACCATTTGGGAGTTTCAGAGAACTCAGGCCACACAACTGGCCGCCTGCTTGCCTGCAGATAAACCCCCTTCATCTTGTTTGTGAATGCTGGCGCCACGGGGTCCCAGAGGCACCAACTCCCATGAAAAGGACCTTGACCTTCCTTTGCCGCTGAGGCGCAGCTCACGGTCTTGATGACTTTGCTGGTGCTGATGAGATGCCCTTCGTCAGCTCTGGTGCAGCAGTGGCCTGGGGTCTTCGGTACAGGGTTTAGCGTACCAAGGTGGCAGAGCTTGGCACGGAGGAGGGGCAAAGGGGAGGGGCACCCCCATCACCTGCCAAGGTTCCCTAAGGCCCTGCTGCTCTCTCCCCTTCCCTTGGGGACCAGGAGCTGTCACAAAAGCCAGGCTTTAAGGAGTGCCTGCCTTGCCCAGCCTACCCGGGCTTTCTTGGGACTCTCAGCAGCGTTCCTCGGAGGCAGCGCCTTTGCCTGCTCCATGCCCAGAACGGGAGCTGTGTGCACGTCCACCTCCCTCACCGATAATGACCCTGAGAAAGGACAGGGCTGTGCCCACCCCCACAACGCCAAGGCAGCTGAACTTTATCCTGAAGGCGATGGGATACAATGAAGGGTTTTAAAAGCAAGAGACCTGTTATGCCTGTGCAATCGGTAAGGATCTAAAAGCTTGATAGCGCACTGTGGCCCGGCACGGAATCGGCTGTCCTGCGCCGTCAATGCTGGCGGCGTGCAAACTGCTTCAGCCGCAGCGGAGGGTAATTTGGCAGGAACTGTCAAAATCACAATTGCATGATCCTTTTGACTCAACAATCCCACTTCTGAGAATTTGTCCTGCAGATGAACTCGTGCCTGCCAAGCGTGGAAGTTACTCACTGGAGACTTGTGAGCTACGGCAAGGGGCTGCGAACCCCGAAACCTCCATCAGCACAGGGACAGACGAAATGAATTGTGGTCAGTCCGTTCAGACAGGAGGATTCTCTGCAACTGCAAAAAATGAATGAGGAAGTGCTCTATGTGCCGATGTGGAAAGAGCACCAAGATATATTAAATGGGGAGAAAAAGGTTGCAAGACGGTGTGTAAAAAAATGGGCAGGTGAGAATATGGACTCATTTTTGCTTGCACATGCATAAAGAACTCTGAAGAAAACACAAGAAAAACTAAAACAGTGGTTACCTGTTGAGAGGGGTCTAGGTGGATGGCAGAGAGCAACAGGAGGAAGATTTTGTTACAAATCTTTTCACATTCTTGGATTTTTTGACTGCCAGAATGTATCATCTGGATGATTTTTGTAAACAGGGGAGAGGTGGGGCTGTCATTTGCTCCTTAGAAAGCTCACTCTGGCTGCAGGGCAGAGGGTAGAGGGGAGGCAGGGAGAGCAGTGAGGAAGGAGAGAAGGAGTGCACCGCCCCCCCAGGCCATCTGCAAACATCAGCTGACTTGCTGGGCACGGAAGGCACTGCCAGGGGCCACCCCACCCCCCTTCCCTGAGCAGGGACGTAGGACTTCTCTGCCCTGGAGCCAGAGTCCAGGTGTGAGCCTTGCAACGACCGACCGGGAGAGTCGCCTTGGCTGCTGCTGCTCCCTCCGGCCTTGCAGCTGGGCAGGCAGAGGTGATGCTTGGGAGGGGCCTTGTGGGGTAACAACAGAAAGGGCTGAGCTGCAAGGCCATCCTGCTGGCTGTCACATCCTTGCCCCGCCTCCACGAACTGGGAGGATGTGGGCAAGTCACATACGCTCCCTTAACCTGTTTGCTCACCCATTAAGTAGAATAACGCCCATTGAGCATGGTCACTGTGTTTTATGAGAGGATGTTTGCCAAGGGCTTGGCCACAGATACCTGCTAAACCAGCATCACTGTCATCACCGTTGTTATCAAACAGATTTCTCCCAGCTCTGGAGAGCAGTATGCACTTGGCACTGCAAAGCACTGCGGTGGATAGGAACTGTTCTCTCCCCTGCTCGTCCCTCGCCAACGTGAGCGAAATACACATTCTTGTCCTATTGATGTTGGGCCTGGCCGTGTGACTTTTGTTGTCCGTTGGACGTCGGCAAGCGAAGGCTTGAAATGTGCCTGTGTGAGGCCACCTGCCCTCTGTGCTCCTGCCCCCCCGGGAAGAATGTGCCCTGGCGAGCCGAGGGTCCCAGGGGGCTGAGAGACATGTGGAACTGACTTGACCCATCTGCGGCCTAGAGCCAAGCCTGGTGGTCTTAGAATGGCTGAGCCGACCCCAGCTGATGCCAATAAATGATCGTTGTTTGAAGCCATTGAGTTTGGGGAAACTCGTCATGCAGCGTTTTGCAGCAATAGTCCACTGAAGCGTTATCCATGACCTCCAGAATTAAGCTGAAGTCTCTTCATACGGCCTTCAAGACCATCTAGGGCCTCACTGGCAACTTCTCCGTTGGTGTCTCAGGCCACTGCCTCCGCTTTGCACAGGCGCCGGCCGAACCAAACTCTGTCCCCAGGGCGGGCTGTGCTGTGGCTCAGCTCCGGCCTCAGGTGCGCTGCCCTCCCGCCTGAGCTGCCCTCCCGCCTGAGCACTCCTGTGGCACCTGCTGCCTCCTCCTAGAGCCTCCTTCGCCTTCAAGACTCTGCGCCCTCCAGGAAGCCTTCCTGCTGCCCAAGTCTGGGTTAGTCATCCCGGGAGGTGACACACAGCACTAATTCCTTCGCCCTGTGTGTGAACGACTTGCTGCTCGGCTTTCTCCCCCGACGAGGGGAGAAGGCACAAAGGCTCCACGACTTCCCCTGGCATACGGTGTGCTCACTGCAAACGCTATTGACTGAACA